AAACATTTAAAATGTTTTTATTTAAAAATAATGAATATGTAAAAATGTTCAAAAATAATTAATGACTAGTTTAATTTTTCAATATACTTTTTGAATTTTTCTATTACAATTATTTTATGTTTATTTAAAAAAATAAACATACTTCTATCTTTCATTGTTCCAGCATATTTCCAATTTTTTCTAATAATAAACAAACAAGTAGATGCAAATTCTTTCAAACTATTTTTAACCTCTTGCATGAAACAAAAATCGTTTTCATCGATAATTTTATAACCATCATAGTAATTAATGTTATAAAAATACCCTCTTCTTTTTTTACTAAAATAAATTTTTTTTAACGTATTTGTTGAATTTTTTAAACCAGTTATTTCTCTTTTTAAAAACACTATTAAATTATTGTATTTAATCTGTAAATTCTTTTCTTTGTTGTTAACTGAATTAAAAAAGTTTTTAAGCTGATTATAAATAAATGCAAACCTTATTAAATTATTTAAATTATAAATAAAACAGTTAATATTATTACAATTATTTTTTAAACCAACCAAATCACAATTTTTTAAAAACACTCTAATTATTTTAAATAAGAAACATTTATAAAAATTCATTTCTTGACTTTTATTTGAAATTAAAAATGGATTTAAATTTTTCATTTTTTTCTTATAAAAGCTATCTGCGTAATAACTAAATTTAAAAATACACAAATATTCTTTACTTGGTAATAAACTAATATTCTTTTCCTCATCGTAAATAATCTTGTAAATAACGTTCCAATCATTTATATCATATTCATCACTTGTTAATTTAACAACACAGTCAGATAAAGTTTCAATATCTTCCTTTTTAATACCTTTAAAATAAGAAGGTTTTTCAATAGAACAATCATTAAAGTGTCTACTTTCATTTAAATCTGATTTTTCTTGTAATTTAAAACATCTTTTTTTAATTAGTAATTTTTCAAATAACTTAGCACGCTTATAACTTTCAGAAGATTGATCTTCATCTACAATAGTAATTTTTCTTTTATTAGAAACTCCTTCATCATTTTTAGATACACTTTGAGATAATACATTTGAATCATTGTCTTTTAAGATATCTTTTGTTGGTATGGATCCCTCGTTAGTTTTAATATCAGGCACAGCTACGGATGCATCTGTTGAACTTTCATCTATAGTTAAAACATTTAAATTAAGTAAGTACCAAATCACTTTAAAGGGTTTTTTTAAAAAAATATTTAAATAGAAATAAGCTTAAATAATAAGTAAGCTTTTTTTGACAAATTTTTATCTAATAAGGATAATAAAAGATAATTTTTTTTGCAAAATTTTTATCAAAAAAATTACACTTTTTAATAAATTATACTTATAATAAACATAAATTTAGACTTGTTTTTTTAAAAAATATTGAAATTTTAAAAAGTGAATGTAAGATAATTATTTATACCAATTTGATGTCTTTATATTTTTTTATTTAATAAATATATTCTGATTCTGAAAATGATAATTAAGAATAAGATGTGTTTTTTGATATTTTCGAAGTATACAAAGTAAATTTATATTTGTGAGTAGCATTATTAATTTGTTAATATTTTTAACAAGTTATAAATAAAAGAAAATAATGAAATATTATTGTATCAATTATTTGAAAATATAAATCATTTTTTAATCAAAAAATAACATATATAGTAAATTTTCTATACTGATTTTAGAATATTTAGATTGTTTAAAAATTTTCATGAATTAATATTAAGTGATGAATTTTTAATAAATTTTCAGATTAAGTCCCTTTTTTCACGCGTGAAGAAAAAAGGGACTGTTAAAATATTAAAAAATAAAATAAAATATTTTTTAATACATTTTTAAACCCATAAATCATTGGTATAGCAGAGTTTTAGAACCGTTTTTGCGTGGGCCAACTAGAAATTTGATAGAGTTTCTTCGCACCAAAGGCGTATTGAAGAGGTACATGAAATGTATGTCTTGTCAACAAGATATGGAAACTAGACCATACTCTAGAAATAGAGATGAAGTGGCATTTAGGTGTTTTAACAATAGGTGTATTAACTACAGTAAATACATTTCTATTCGCACTGAATCGCTATTATCAAGTTTCAATATGTCTCTGAGTATAATACTACAAGTATGTTATAAATAATTTAACAATCAAACTTAGGTACAGATAGGGTCAGAGGTGAACGTGGGAAGAAAGGTAATTATGAAAATAAATGATCTTCCTTAAAAACAATGTTTTAAACATACCACAAATACCCAATTCATTTCAAAGATAATTGTATGGTTGTTCAAATAAATAAAAATCTATTTAGACATAAATAAAAAAACCATCGCGGTAAACAGTTAGAAAGAGAAACATACTTATTAATTTACCAAATGTGACATTTACACCAACTAAAATATTAATGTATGTTGTATTTAATAAAACCATCTCTATGCTTTTACCAATTATTAAAAAAAAATTATCGAAGATGCAATAATTTTGATGAAGTATGTTTCTATATACATTGGAAATAGTAGTTTGTGATTCTCGTATTTTACTGTTAATCATTGTGAAACTTTTGTAAATCCCACTACTAGTGTTCATATTCAAAACATCAAAAATACATGGAATAAATGCAATAAATGCTTTAAATGTATAAATATGATGAAATTTTTAATGCAAATTTGTTGATCAAAGAGTTAATATAGAAAAAAATACCAAATTTACTAAAAACTCTGATAATTTATTGCTTTTATTAAGATTTTAATTTATTTTCAGAGGAGAAAAGGGACTTGTTTTTAGAGAAAAATAAACTCGATTGGATAATTCTTGTTATACATCTTTTAAATCTATCGTAAAATAACTTTTCTTATTTATAAATTCTTAATTTATTTGATAAAAATTAACTATTGAAAATTAATATAATTATTATAATTTAGAATGTAATGTATATTTTTAACAACTCTATTATCTATTAAATATTTTTTTAAAGAAATAATTTTTTCTACAATTAAAATTGTTGTACGATGCTTATTTTGTCATCAAAGAATTTTGATGATTTATAATTAATTTGTTCTTTAAAAGAATTTCTACATAAAATTTTATTATAACGAAAAAGAATGATAAAGAAGACAATGTAAACGATAACAAAATGTTTATAATTATATATTAAATAATACCTATTCCATTATAGACAACAATCTATATTATTTTAATAAAATACTTTTTAATTTTTATAGTAAAGTTTTTGATTTAAATAATTTAGTAATAAATCATAATTAATTAATCAAATAAATAAAATTAATTGAAAAACATAATTATTATTAAAAAGTGG